GATGTGATTCAAAGTCATTCCAGACTCCAGTTCCTGAGCCAGTCGCTGTCCGTCACACAAATCAGGGATCATCTTCCTATAGAGCTTCTAAGAAAGACATCGAGAACAATGTCGGCACCCCTAGAGAAGCTGATTGCGAGGCAGAGTTTGAAATGAGCTGTAAGACTCATAAAGAAAGATTATCTTCGATTTTCGACCGCCTTGGCCTCAACTGGAACGATCCGAAAGCGCTAAATGAATCAAGAAGCGACGTGATGTTGAAAAACAGTGAGAGAATTTCCTACTACGGTAATATTTTTGACAAACTATGAAGTCGATTTCCAGGCCAAACCGACGAACACTCGGATTGTTATATTTATCGAACATATCCTCATGACAGTTGTGAGTCTGTGACCACCAAGAAAGTCGATAATGGATATAGAATTAAGGTCAGTCATCGCTTGTTTCTTTCAAATTTCTCATCTCTTGCTTATGAGTGGGGTGTTGAGAAGTGGAATTGTTAACAGCTTTCTTCGAGATCATGTTTACTTTCTCAACGTTTGTGCTGAATTCCAGCTTCAACATAAAATTCTTTCGTTTGACATTGCTCCCATAGGATACAGCGGGGTATTGTGTCTCGTGGAACGCCCAGTTGGCCGACCAAAGTTCATCTTTGCACCAGTACGTTTTTCTTTTTTTCTTAAGACAGTTCACTTTACACCCGATTTCCTTTCTTTTTTTTCTATCATACTCTCATGTATTTAGTTCATCGCTCCTGACGAAGGGTTTTCCATCAAACCGGAGTTAGTGAAAGTGTTTCAAGAAATTCGGATGTGGGAAGCATTCGATGTGAGTAGCAGTCAGCGCAGTATGAAAAGATTCCCTTGTAATTTTCGCTGTTCAGTCTATTCCATACAACTTGTATCAGACGATGAAATCGCGGCTTCAAAACGGCATGGATAAAATAACCGACCGAGAACCTTTTTTGTGTAAGTTTCGAAGACAGGTTAATGACAACATTAAAGGAGTAGTATTTCAAAATAATTGTTTAAGCGATTCTCCAAGGACTCGCCGAACGTATACCTAGACGATGTATGCAATGGCTACTGAGTTCTGCAAGGAAACAACCCTGTTATCATGGTAACTTATACTGCGTGTTGTAGTGTTATGCTCGAATCATTGAAAGCGCGCCGCTGTCCTTATCTAGTTGTCTCGTAACGCGCCAAATCCATGTTAGTTGACTTGATCATTGGCCTTAGTGCACGGCATGCCATTCGAGCACAACGCGCGTCACAATTTCTGCTTATTATGATCATGCTTCCTTATTTGGAAATGTGTGTTTCACGGTGATTAAGTCACAGATTTGATCTATAATTCTAAAGGTGCATGGTTTGGCTAGAATTTAGGAGTCAGCCAATCATGGGAGTCCTGATTTTCCACAATATACCCTGAACGGTTGATTACCGGGATCTGACCTGAAATATTTTGTATTCACCCCCGATGCGAAACACATCCACAAGAGAATTGAACTGTCCACTATCCCTTCATGTGTTGCTTTTCTCTGACTCATGTAAAAGTACTGTAAGTTCAGAATCTCCTGAACTCAGCGATTTCGACTACACAACCTCAGATGGTGATGAACCGTCGAGCCTGGACAAGACATCATTGAGTAGTGGAGGATGCTCCTATGTGCCAAATTTAACTGTTAAAGGGTACTGTTAGTATCTTTCCAGTTGCTTCAAGAGTGCTCAATTTTCCTCCTAATTCTAGCTTACCTGGCATTCTGCAACTATGCTCATTGGAAACAGAAAAAGAAGTTTCATGGCAGGACTGTGATTCTACTCATTTCACATTTGTCAAGGTTCTTTTTTGAATCTATAGACCTGAGCACAGCTCTGGCATAACCCCCATTTAACTTCTCTGCTCCAGAGCTTCGATCATCAGTAGGAATGTTAGACAATTAAAGTCGGCCAATCAGAGTTAGTAAATGCTTCAGTTTTTTGAAGATTGCGCGATCACCTATTCGACGAATGATATTGGAACCTTTCTGTTTGCCAGTGACTGAAGATAAAGTAGTATCGGACGAGAAATTCGCTGCCAGTATGGATATATTGAAACAAATTCCTGTGATTTATTTGTGTCTTATTAATGGTGATACGATACGTTTCATTGAGGTAATTTATTTATTTCCTGGTCGCTCTCAACTTTTATTTCATGTTCTTTATTTCAGTACACTTTGTTCATACGACATAAACTTGGGAAGCCTGTTTTTACGAACAATCCGTGCTCATTTTTAAACGCTTTTTACTTCTTCAGTACGATTGTGTCAAGGTTGTTCACTACCTAATGCTTATTTCTAACTTTTTCTTATCGTATCCTTGGGGGCCATGGGATACGGTGTGGATCAGGAGGTGATTCCGCAACCTTCGTGCGCGGAACTAATGTACCGCATGCCCTACGTCACCGCGTGCGATGAATTAGGGCATGCGGTACATTAGTTCCGCGCAGGAAGGCCGGTATCGCGAACGATGGCCGCGAAGAGCTTCATAAAACATATCCTACAAATCGACGAAAATTTGTGCGGCAATTTTTTATTTCTTGCTTTTTGCATGACTCTGCGATAGCGGGTCTTTAAAATTTACAATTATAGGTATGTGAATAAGATTTCTTGTGCAACGAATAAATCCACACCGAACTATGTGGCTCGTCGCCTTCGTCTTGCGGATAAGATTGAAGCATTCATAAAAGAACACAGTGGTGAGTGGTTCAGGCTTGCCTCTTGAGCAAACCAATAGTTAAGAATCAAATGAGCTACACATCCTCTTCTTTAAAAAATCGCATACAAATTTCGATTTTTTTAGAGTCACGGCTGTTGAACCCACTATTCGTTCCGATGATGTTGATTTTGCTTGGAGAACTTACGGCTACAAATCCAGAAACGTTCACCAAAATCGTGCTTGAGAGCCCGGTTAGTTGATGTTCCCGTATTATCCAGAAGTACTAATGTTGCTTGTACTAATGTCTTCATTAAGATTATGCCACTTGGTTACAAAGTTGCGTGGTGCACTAATCTTTTAAGCTCGGCCAAGATGAAAGAAGCTTTTCATCACCTTTTCGAGAAGGTAACTCTTTTGGAAATATTCGTTAGTTTTTTGTGAACGCCTTTTTCGTTTTAGTGATCTTTCTTATGTTTCCAGAGCCTCGGCTTGGATCGCTTGCTATTTGTTGGGCTTGGTCGGCATCCAGATTCATTGCACGTTCTTTCGGAGTAAGTAGATTGCTTAGAAACAAAAGTCGAATATGGTTTCTAGAAGGGCTGGTTATGCTTTAGATTCTTGTACACAACCCAAGATTGCCAAGTTTTCTCTCATCTTCTCGTTGCTGGTCATTGTTTAGAAGAAGACGATTCAGTTTTAGATGAGGTTCGAGTTTTGCCACTTTTTTTGTTGCGTAGATAGCACACGATTCCGCACGTCTCGCTACCTACAGAACTAAACAGAGCCTTTTCTTGATGTCTACGCTTTTCAATCTTGAGTTTCGGTACTTTTCAATGCGATGTACATAGCCACAATGTTTTTTTATTCCTACCAGTCAGATTTAGGTCACCTTTTGCCCATTTTAATTCTACGCATGTCTGCTTTCGGCGTTATAAAATTTAAGTCAACGATCTAAAAGATTATTGTATTGTTTTGATGGTGTGAATGGGGGTTTCAGAGCGAATCGGACGATTGCTCAAAATCCGAACTCGATGTGGAAAGTGTTAAAGGTCTGTATGGTGCCAGTTTGCCATCTTTATTCGCCATGTTCCCTCGAAGCTACCTGAGTGTTGCTGAAGATATGTAAGTTCCATCCACTCCTTAAGAACTTTGCATTTCATTATTTCACCTTTTCAGGGCTGATTTCTCGCACCTCGCTCGGGCTGAGTTATGTCGGTACTCGTTTATTTTACAACGTATGGAACGCTTCTGTTTTAGGCGGAAACTTTTGAATCTTGTTCCGCACATTTACTGGCCCGATTTTAAGACCACAGTAAGTTTCCCTTCAATTTCTCTTTTTTTTTNTTTTTTTTTCTTGTATAACGCGAATAGCAAATGTTTTAACTAAATTTTCCTCCTTCTTTCTTGATGCTGTTTTTTGAGTACCTTTTTGAGTATTCCTTGCCGAGACCAGGCGGTTTTTAGTAAGGTTGCCGCCAAAATCTAACCCAGTAATGAAAGTGCTTGCTTTTTGTATCAGTTTCGAGAAGGTCGGCTGTAGTTGGTGTGCATGTGTGTGTAATCTCATGGAGACTGGGTAGGTCTGAGCAATGTTGAAGGACGTATGTTTGGCAGCCTGTAACTAAGATTCATTTTTTCCTTTACTCTATTTTTTACTGTTTATACTTGTCTATTAGCATTTTTTACAGGTCGATATCTCCTGTACATTCTGCGGCTCGAGTTACGAGACAGCCTTACGTAATGCTGAGTCTCTGATAAGTGATCAAATATCCCAAGGAAGATTACGGCCGACGGTCACACGATCGGCAACAAGCCGATCGTCTGGTTCCGTCAGTAGTAACATGGCATCGTTGTCGCTCTCTTTTTCTGGGCTATCAGATACTGAAACGAGTGCCATGGCAGTAACTCCGTCATCCGAATCTTACTACGATTACAACGGAGTTGATGGCGGCACAGAGGCTGAGGTCTGTGTTTTATTTTGAATTACCAGTTGAATACTGTTTGTTGTGAACTGGAAGGTTTCCTTTAAATAGTCTTTGTTCATAAACGTATCGTTTAGATCAAACGGCCTCCAGATAGTGCGTGTCCACAGTGTCGTAAATCTTATCCTCGCTGTTCGCTTTGTGGTTTATCATACGGGACACCAGTTAACGACTACGATCATCCAGCGGGAACGTTTTCAATGATGTTCTCCACGTGCTTGGTACTTAAAAATAGCTTTTTCTGTATTCTATATATTGAAAAATATCTGTTGCACTACACTTTTTGGGGTGTTACCGTAAGATGTTACCGTAATCTTTTGATATTATATGGTCTGAGGGATATGGAGGCATCAGGTTTATGGTGTCTCCTAAGTTACTGGTTACAATTGCCGCTTTACAGATGTGTAGTCATGGAGGACATACAAAACATGTGATAACATGGTTTGAAAAAGAAGACGAGTGTCCGGTATTAGGATGTGATTGCAGGTGATGATTATTTTTTAAACCAGATTCCGTCACGGTGGATTATAGGCAATCAAAAGGGCGCCTTTAAAAGTTGCACCATGCAATGGTATTACAGTATGCAACAAAGACTTATCCAAAGGCTGTTGTGAGCTTTCAGATCCCTTTTTGTAAAGAGCAAAGAGTACCTGGCAGCTGCTAGATTTCAATCTGTGTTACAAAATTAGTGGCCAGCTGATATTCTTTGCACTTCATGCCGCCAAGGGGTATCCAAGCTATGCAGGCGTTTGGTGGATTTAATGGCTCACCTTATCTTCTTATATCTTCATAGCTCATGATGGTGGGAAGTAGAGTAGCGGCTTCTTTCATAGTCCACGATTTGGCTCGCGATCGGTCGCGCGACTGTCCGCGCGGTCGCGGGCCAAACCGTGGACTATGAAAGCAGCTAGCGACTATAGGCGCTTATGACTAAATTGCACCCGATTCGCACCGATGCTCTCAGAACATGAGCAAGTGAGGCCTCCTGCATCTTTACCTTCATATTTTTTCAGATGTCTGTATCTCGAGAACGGTATTAGTGGACGGATACGACAAAGAATCATGACGCCTTTCTAACGAGTATGGCTTCGAGATTTTACTGTTGACCACTTACTACCTCGGCAGCGGTTTTTACTAGTTAGTGCTATTCCACTCGAGTCTGTTTTAGGCAGGTAAATACGTTATGGGATTGTTTACCTCTGAGAAGTTTGATCTCATTGTGAACATTTGATATTATTTGTGATTCCCAGTGCAACATTGTTGATATTTTGAAGATTGCCATTATTTGTTTGTTCTTTTTACAACAATAGTCGCTTTGCTTGTACTTGCCTGCTGATTCTTTCCTTGATCCTGCCTTGCTATTTTAGGTGCACTTATCGTTGCAAAATTTGGTTAGGTTTCTGTTCTTCTTTGCTAGCAGGGAATATTTGATTGTAATTTTTGTAACGCATTTCTTTTCGTTACTTTGACTGCGGAAAAGCTCACCCTTTCTGTCATGAACTAGCTTCAATTCATCTAGTACCGCACTTCCAGTTTCACAGGTTAGCTTCTCTTCCTGATTGTGCTCGCCTCCACATACACCTCTTTATTTCCACTTTTCAATTTAGATTATTTACGTTGGCAATTTTCTTTCTTACCTTCGTCTCGTATAGATAGTCATGTTGAGGAATAGTCCGTGCGCTAAGTTGTAACAGGAAGATTGTTAATTTTGTACTTTATCAGGTTGGCAACTAAGTGATGGGTATATTTGGATATATCTCATGCAGTGAGGACTGTACGGTCAAACATTTTGTTTATGAATATAAATCACTCGAAAATCCCGTAGTTCCCTTTGAGATAGATATTTGAAGTGCTCAGGGAGGAGAAGCGCGGTTACTTAGTTGCCATACCTGTAAAACACTTCCATTTGTCCTAGTCATGCATACGCCTCTAGGCCGTAGCAGCCGTCTTCCCTTTGTTCGAAAGGAAAGGTTTTAATGGCAAGAGCAAAGGGTGTATGTGACATTTTTGGTTTCTGACAAATTATGCCATTTGGCTTTAAATGTGCTCAAAGTTTTTGCCTGTATGAAACAATTCGTGCAAGTCGTTCTCCTCTCTATTCGACTTCATTTTGGCAGGATTTGTGATATATCGAAAAAACGTGTTTGGCTATATTACAATATAGAGATGTATTTGTTATTCGATAAATTATTTAGATTTACAGTGTCTATTTAGCAAATCTTGATGGCTTCCCTCCTTCTAAAATGCCTGAAGTCTTTCGAGATTTAGGCGGGCTTTTGAAAATTTATATGGTGAGGCTCATGTAATAGTATTTTGTACCAGTTAGTGGAACTGTGACGGTCGGGCTGCTTTCATAGGTCTCGATGACCGAACTGCTGGATACGTCTTATGAAACCAAACTGCGGAAGAATGTCGGAGGGGCACCTACGGACTGGATACTTTTGAGCAGCACCTTGTTCCGCAATTCAGGATCTGGAAGCCCTCTCAACGTCAGAAACAGATGAATTAGGTAGGTATAAGCTAATTAATTCGAAAAGTTTGGTCCTGAAAATGAGTTAGTAAAGATTATTTGAAACTTGGATGTAAGCTAGTGATTTTGTAGTGCAAATGGGCGAGAGGAAACTCGTTCGCCTACTAAATCGGAGGGTCTAAACTCACAGCTCGCGTTAATTTTGGGATATCCGGTTTTCCACGGTTGTGTTGCCTTTGTGTTACCCTTGTGGACCACTGGGTTACCCTAGGGGTATCTTAGAGACCATTTTTATCGTGAACTGTGCCTTTAAGGCTACTATCCCCGGAGCCAGACGTTAATATCATGAAGTGGAGTACATTCAGGCTACGTTTACACTTTGGGAATCTGCCGCCAGCTGTAAGAGCATCAAAATTGAAACAGGTGCCAGTCAATGAACTCGAGACTCCTATCCAGCATTCTAAGAGACATTCTACGGTAGATGCTCCTTTATAAGGTAAGTACTACCTTCAAATTTCACTTTTTTGTAAATTGAAAGTGGAGTGGAATGAAGTATATAGGAATTTAGCTGGTGAGTAACATTAGAGAAGAACTTTCCTAGAAACATGCTTCAGAATTTATTCGGGCATACAGGGTATATTGAACTAGGCCACTACTTTAAGTATTATATTTTACAAGCGATTTTCCTGTCTTCCATTGAATTCAGTACAATCACAGATTTGATTCATGTTAAATTTTTGGTGAGCATTTTTTCTTCGCTGTTCCGCCCTCGTTCCATTAGACGTTCGGGAGTTTTGTCGAAGAGGGCACACCTGTAATAAGGGTTTATGAGTGGATGATCTATGAGAAATAGCTGTTATTGTTACTGGTAAACAGATTCAAGGAGAGTCATCCTTGAATGTAATGTTTTGCTTACTTTTCAGGCAGAAGTAGTCGTGTAGCCAACAAACTCAGTAGTGACATTTCACATATAACAACAAAATTGTAAATATCTGAATGGGAATTGCTGAGAAATCAAAATGAAAGAAGGATTCCAACAGCTCAGAATTCTTACATTTGGCGTTGCTCATGGCCGACAATATTGGTCCGCATTCGATAATACCAAATTTAACGAGGATCAGGTCAAATATAAGTGGCAGTTGAGCAGTAAATAATGCCAGACTGATGTCAACAAAACGGAACATGGTCACAACTTTGAATTTTCGAACGTACTGCTGGAAAGTGATTTGGTTATTTCATGCAATTTTGAAAAAACATTTTTATCAAATGGAATAACTCTTTTTAACATCTGGGAAACTTAGGAT